CATGCCCAGACGTGAATGTGAGCATGATTCATTGCATGAGTGGAGTCAGTCTAAGCCCTCTATAACCCAATGAGTAAATTCCATTGAGGCCAAGTTTCTCTCGAATAAAACCGATTCCTTTGAATCGAATGCCATTGCTTACGTATTTCTGACATTGAAATACACACTTGACAAGATACTTAACAANAACAGAAATCATATTTTTTCTGTCATTCCCTGGCTGATTAATACATCCAATCCCCAATGCTAATGGCAACAATCTGTTACATGCGGCTTCTCCCTTCGCTACTTAGCTTCATCGCATAGGTTCTTATCTTTATTGTATCATTACTCAACCCGTCGCATCTTTTCACATACTGGTTACATCTGTGCAATCATTTATAGTTTAGTGAATGAGACAGGCGATGATATGAATGAGTTACAGTTATCCATGATCCCACAAGCGATGGTAACTCTGTACGGGGTCGATAAAATATTCTAACCACGGTTGTCTTAACACTGAATGTTAAATAAGAGAAAAGGTTCAGTGGCACCGCGGATGCCACTTGTAGTATATTTCCCGTATGTGTGTTACCACGGGAGATTGTGTAAACGAGCTACCTATCATAAAGGTGGAAAGCAGTGACATTTTTCCACTCTGAACCGAACTGGGCGGTTGTGTAGACATTACACATTATTACTCAACTTCTCTGTAGTCACTGGCCTCTTCCGGACTATATTCACTCTGCTTTGAACCAGCCCGGTTTGTAGGAAACGGTGCATTTTTCACAGATAAACTTACCGGTTGATTTGTTCGCACGATTACCGTAAACTCAATTTTGATCTGTTCAGCCAGACCAAAGGTGATTTATCATTTTTCTTATGTGGCGATGGTGAAAAGTTCAGCAACCTCGTTGGGATTTGAACCCACGCATGGACGCCGCCTACGCTATGTATTTCGTTCTCTTTTCATTTTACTTCCTTTTATTGAATGCACAAAGATACAATTTTTCAGGAAGCGGGAAGCGGTCAATCAAAGGGCCGCCATACGCACACACCCTACCAGCTGAGCTACGAGACCACACCAAAGGCACTGATCTTTTCACATTCGAATTACCCATTGAACAGTGAAAGTTCGAAACAGAGTGGTCGGCTTTCCCCACTAGATACACAGAGGATTCAGTAAGTGTGGGAACTGACCTATGAGTTTTGATCACCTATTGCCATCTGACACGGTTTGATCGAATACAAGGGCAAATCAATGACAGCTGGATTTTTTTCTAAACAATGTGTTTCCAGCTTAGTGAATCACCGGGTATGGCACTAATAGGTCATTGGGTATTGTCATATCAGTTAGAACAGAATGGAATCTTTTCTGTCGCCATGGCCGTTGGAGTGATTGCCCCATGTGACACTTTTTACATCCTCTCCAGTTCCTCAGTTACTGTCTTTTATTCACATTTTCACACTTGTTTTATTCGTTCTTGTCTAACATTCCTCATATCGTGTCCACTCTACACATGTTACATGGCTTCGCCCTATCCATTTATCCTGATGCGATAGCTTGTTGTCCATTGAACATTTTACACACACATTCATTCACTACCAGCTTTAGCGAATAAAGCGCGTTATGGCTGACGACAAATGGGCATACGCAATACGTGCCCCACCCAGCGAACCCTAATAGTCTGAATTCGATGAGCTAGCAGGTTAATACCTGATAAACATCCAAACTCATGACGGCTTAGCTCAAGAATACTCGTTCGCTTCATTTCGGGTTAAACTACGTCAACACCGATAATCGAAATAAGTCTACGAAAAAAATGAATAGGAACCACGAACTAGGGTACCCTTGACGAACGCCGCTGTTGGTGACGAACCGCCTACTTAGTTAATTGTAGTCCCTCACTCGACCTGAGGTGAGTATAGCAACCTCAGTAGGTTTGAATACTTCTGGGGTATGAATCCTGATGGGTTGTTGAGCTATATTCTTAAAGAACATCGCAAAACTCCGAATTGTGTCTGTACCGCCAAGCTCACTGATCAGCGTTGAGTCCGATTGATTGATGATATTTGATGACCAAAACACCGACCATCTTGTGGAGTTTCCAATGGAGTGCGATCGGTTGGATTCAGTTCATTCATTTGAAGTTAAAACGGATTCACTTGAGGTTGAAAAGGTTTGGAATTTTCATTTGTCAAACCGTCATTTTGAAGTGATAAATGATCACTGTCTTGAGAAAGAAACGCTGTGAATGGACCGCCTTGAGCTGAGTGGGTAAGTAATCACACATTTTTTACCCGCGGATTTACCACTCGTCTCCTCGCGCTGTTCCTTTTTGCACTGTG